CTGTGCATCTGGAGATCAAGTGTTTACTTAAAGAGTGCTGATAACACGCAGCTCTATTTCTCCACCACATCTGAATCAGGAGAGACTGTTATGTACTGAAGTTCTCACCCTGGGCCAGCAGGGGATACTGTAGAAAGTTTTCACTCAGGTCCACATATGCAAATAAGGGATTGAAAGTGACATTCAGTGATTGGATAGTTACAGAAAGTGGTTACTGTTGCGTTCTAGTGGAGCTCTATATAAGGAGGCTGGCTGAACCCTTCAGTTCAGTTCTGTTCTGGCCTGTGAATAAACAAGAGCTGTCTGAAGAATCGCTGTGTCGTCTGATATGTTCACCCACAACTTAACAGAGACGATGCAGTCTTAGGCCATTACTTGGATGCGGTGGGGAGATGAATGTCAGAAAACAAGCTGAGCTATGAGTATTTCCCATATCCAATAAATTGGTCAACTGCCCCCCCCGATGGCATTGCACTCCCCCTGAAGGAGCAGGTTCACAGTTTGGGGTGCTTCTGGACCCAGTGGCTAGAAGCGCCTTTTGCCAACTGCAATTGGTTCGAGAGCTATGGCCGTTCCTGGACTGGGGAAGCCTAGTGATAGAAGCTCAGGCCATGGTTGCTTCAAGACTGGATTACTGCAATGTGCTCTATGTGGGGCTTCCTTGCGCTCGATCCAGAACACTGCAGCACGATTGCTGAGAGGAGTAAGACCTTGTCAGCATGTAACACCTGTGCTCAGAGATCTGTACTTGCTGCCGATTTGCTCCTGGGCCATGTTCAGGGTGTTGCTATCAGTATACAAAGAACATAACAACTGGGGACCAATTTACCTGTGAGATCACCTGAGTGATACACCCACTCAGTCACTTTGATCTGTGAAATGGCATTGTTACAAGTGCCACGTAATACCCGTTCCACATAAGGAATCAGTATTTTAGTGTGGCCACCTCCACATTGGAACTCCCTGGCGATTGATATCAGGCAGGCAACTTGCTATATACCAGGCATAGGCAAACTCGGCCCTCCAGATGTTTTGGGACTACAACTCCCATCATCCCTGACCACTGGTCCTGTTAGCTAGGGATGATGGGAGCTGTAGTCCTAAAACATCTGGAGGGCCGAGTTTGCCTATGCCTGGTATATACTCTTTTCCGTGCCTGCTAAAAACATTCTGCTTAGACAAGCCTGCCCAGATACCGCTATTTAAAATGTTGATGCATGTTTAATCTGTCTTTAGTTTATTGTTGATTTGCATTTTCTTAAATGTTTTAAATTACTATTGCTATTCTATTGATAAATGTATTGTTTTCTGGGGTTTTTTTTGTAAATGGTTTAGATGTGTTTTTATATATGCACAATCAAGCCATGTATAAATTTTATGAAATTAATAAATATTTTGTCTGCCTGTTCAATTAAGATGCACACCTATATTCCAATGAGGAGGAAAACTCCCAAGGACATGGACTCTCCGGTACAAGTGCAGAACACTAACCTGCTGGATGTTCATTTGCTGCATAATGGTCCCTACCCCCCCCCAAAAAATCTACATTTTTATCTCCAGTCTTTTGAGGGTGGTGTATGTCAGGAATGGTGGGACACGGGTGGCGCTGTGGGTAAAAGCCTCAGCGCCTAGGGCTTGCCGATCGAAAGGTCAGCGGTTTCGAATCCCCGCGGCGGGGTGCGCTCCCGTTGTTCGGTCCCAGCGCCTGCCAACCTAGCAGTTCGAAAGCACCCCAGGTGCAAGTAGATAAATAGGGACCGCTTACCAGCGGGAAGGTAAACGGCGTTTCCGTGTGCTGCGCTGGCTCGCCAGATGCAGCTTTGTCACGCTGGCCACGTGACCCGGATGTCTC